TATATGTTATATAGAAGTAATTAACAGGAAGAATCAGTTGTAACATACTGTATGTTCTGAATTGCATTTCCTGTAAGCTGAATTACTTTGTGTAAGCTGCCCAAAGTCATTTACTGAGATAGACGGCTATAGTAATAGAACTAACAAACACATAAATAAATCTGGGTCTCTCCAAGGCTAGTCCAACCCCTTCATCAACCTGGCTGCTGTTATCCCTCAGAAGGGGGAAAAAAGGGAATGCACAAAAAACAATCCCCCATAAAAATAAAAGCATCACCTATCTTGCAATATTAGCGTTTGGATAACTTACCAATGAAACATACAAGAGCAGTCAAAACAGAAGAACCAAGAGCAGCAACAACCATGGTGACAATATAACCATGGTTCTCAATGAAACAATTTCCCATTTTTGAATATCTGCAGTTCTGCATATTATCTAAGGCAGAAAGAAAAAAAACCCAAATTTTAAACCAACAAGGTCTCCAATGTCAGGTTAAGAGAAGGTTGACAAGAAGATAAGAAGGTTCAAATCACATTGCTGGATGCAAGCACCTATCTGGAAGAGAAGAGTTTAGAATCAAGAGTTCTCTTGACCAACCTCCGCCCTTTCTTTTCTTAGAAACCAACTGATGACTCAGCTACAATCTCTGGATGAAAGTTGTTTAATTTCAAATAACTTCCCCGGCAGGAAAGAGATAAAGATGCACAGGATTTTGAGGTTAAAAAAAAATAAAAATACAGTTTTATTGAAAGCTCCTCCAAAATATTTAAATATTTATTTTTTTCTCTGTGCAGGGGCAGGGAGAAGAAATGGCTATTCAGGCCAAATCAGTAGACGGGTTTTTCCCATCATGGGCAACCTAGAGATATGTGGACTTCAACTCCCAGAATTCTTGGCTTGGGAGTTCTAGCACAGGGCTTTTCAACCTTTTCACCCATTGTACCACTTTTAGGATATGGCAATATCCGAGTACCACCAGTCGCCTAGCAAGGTGTCAAAAACTTGATGATCCCCCCCAAAAAGAAAAGAAAAAGTGATAAAGTACAGGTAGTCCTCGACTTATAACAGTTCACTTAGTGACTGTTCGAAGTTACAATGGCACTGAAAAAAGTGCCCCCCAAGCCACAGCTGAGCAAGACACCTGCCTGCTCACCCAGCGGCGCTCATCCTCCTGTCCGAGGTTTTCATTGTTGTGAGCATTTCTGTTGAGGATTGGCAGCGGGGGTGGGGTGGTGTGGTGTTTGGTTTTTATTCCCCCCCCCCCGTCTGCTGGGTGGTTGCAGCAGGTTTTGGTCACTTCACATGACCCTGGGACACTGTGACCGTCATAAATATGAATCAGTTGCCAAGCATCTGAATGTAAATCACAAGATCCTGGAGATGCTGCAACATTCCAGCTGATCGGCGCTTCTTCTGGGCTCAGCGGAAGGGCCAGGATCAGCGCCAGGCTCCAGCTGGAGCCTGGTGCTGATCCTGGTGCTTCCGCTGAGCCCTGACAGCCCTGCAGCTCCAGCCATCTCTCGCTCAGGCTTGTGCGGTGCTGCTACCAGCTCATTCCCCTCCCCCGCTACCACTTTTCTAGGATGGTCGCGTACCACCTGCCAGGTGCCAATGTACCACAGGTGGTACCCGTACCACTGGTTGAAAAGCCCTGTTCTAGCAGACCAAATCCACACACCTCCAAGCTTCTCAATTCTTCAGGTTGGGCCACACACTACCATAGATGATCCAGAAGCTGATTTAGATCTCTGCAGAACCATATTGTATACAACCCAAAAAAAGGTAACATGGGTATAGAAAACATAATAATAACAACAATAAAGTTGGAAGGGACCTTGGAGGTCATCTAGTCCAACCCCCTGCTCAGGCAGGAAACTCTGTACCATTTCAGACAAATGGCTGTCCAGTCTCTTCTTAAAAACTTCCTGTGTTGGAGCATTCACCATTTCTGGAGGCAGGTTGTTCCACTGGTTAATTGTTCTCACCGTCAGGAAGTTTCTCCTTAGTTCTAGGTTGCTTCTCTTCTTGATTAGTTTCCATCCGTTGCTTCTTGTCCTGCCTTCAGGCACTTTGGAGAATAGCTTGACTCCCTCTTCTTTGTGGCAACCCCTGAGATATTGGAACACGGCTATCATGTCCCCCCTCGTCCTTCTCTTCGTTAAACTAGACATACCCAATTCCAGCAGCCTTTCCTTATATGTTTTAGCCTCCAGACCTCTAATCATGAAGATATTGTCCCTAGCAAGAGCAGCACTGAAATGATTATACACACCTCCCCCATATAATTAACACAAAAGGGCTGAAAATCCTATAAAAACTTGATCAAAGTACTACCCTTTTGCTAGCTGCCCCAAAGAACAAGTCTCTTTGTTATTAGGAAGAAATGGATCTCCTCCTTTCCCTCAGCACGTGCTTCTTGTCTTATTTACCTGTGACCTCATGGCTTGGAAAAAGGGACCTGGAAAATTCTTTTCATGTTCCTTTCCTTTATTTTTTGGGAAACCAATTGATGGCTCAACTACAACCTTCCGGAGAAAAGCTGTTTTATTGCTTAATAGCTTCCCCAGTCATGAAAGAGACAGCGGCTCGGGGGATTTTGAGGAATTGAAGTCCATGAGTCACAAAAGAGCCGAGGTTGCCTAGCCCGACCTACACGGACCGGTTGTCCTTGACTTACAAACTATTCGTTTAGTGATCGTTTGAAGCTGTTAAAGGCACTGAAAAAAAGCGACTGATGATCCTTGTTCACACACGCACACACACGGTAGCTGAAATCTGCCCTGATGTGAAGGCAACAAGATAAATCAGGTTGAAAACCTCGTTTGAAGTGAGGCAATGAAAAGCCCTTAACTGTGTAATCCATCACGTGGGGGAGGGGGGAGTGTGTTGGATTTAACGGCACTCGACCTGGCAAGGAACTTGCAATTCACTCATCCAAAGTCAAAAAGAAAAAAGTTATAAGTGAAAGTTAAATAATAATAGTAAAGTTGGAAGGGACCTTGAAGGTCATCTAGTCCACACACTACCATAGATGATCCAGAAGCTGATTTAGATCTCTGCAGAACCATATTGTATACAACCAAAAAAAAGGTAACATGGGTATAGAAAACATAATAATAACAACAATAAAGTTGGAAGGGACCTTGGAGGTCATCTAGTCCAACCCCCTGCTCAGGCAGGAAACCCTATACCATTTCGGACAAATGGCTGTCCAGTCTCTTCTTAAAAACTTCCAGTGTTGGCGCATTCACCGCTTCTGGAGGCAGGTTGTTCCACTGGTTAATTGTTCTAACTGTCAGGAAGTTTCCCCTTAGTTCTAGGTTGCTTCTCTCCTTGATCAGTTTCCATCCGTTGCTTCTTGTCCTGCCTCCAGGCGCTTTGGAAAATAGCTTGACTCCCTCTTCTTTGTGGCAGCCCCTGAGATATTGGAACACGGCTATCATGTCCCCCCCTCGTCCTTCGGCTATTAAGTTAAAACTTAATAGCCGAAGCTGCACCTCTAATCATGGGGGGGCAGCGCTCGGCCATGTGCCTCTTCCCCCCCCCCCCCGCCTCCAGCAGGCTCTTACCCGAGAGTTGGGAAGCCCAGGATCTCTCTCTCATCCAGGGAAGTCTGCAAAGAGTCCGAAAAGCTTCACGAGAAGTGTAGCAGAGAGGTGGGGGTGTATTTGAGCTGAAGCAGCGGCAGCGGCGCTGGAGCTCTGCAGCTGCAGCGGGTGCAAATGAGGACTGCGAGTTCCTCCAGCAGCGGGCAGGCTGTGTGCGTGGGAGGAGCCCCGGGATGAGAGAGCTGAGCTCCAGCTGATAGGCGGACAAAGAGCCGATCGGGTGGAGTGTTGAGGCGGCCGCCGAGGCGGAGATCCACTAGAGCAGGGGTAGGCAACCTTGGCTCTTTTATGACTCGTGGACTTCAACTCCCAGAATTCCTGAGCCAGCCATGCTGAGGGGGAAAGAGAGATTTCCAAGCTGAGCCATGCTGGCTCAGGAATTCTGGGAGTTGAAGTCCACGAGTCATAAAAGAGCCAAGGTTGCCTACCCCTGCACTAGAGCCCGAGGAGGGAGGCGCGCTCGGAAGAGAGAAGAGGGGCGGAGAGAGAAGGAGAGATTATAAAAGGAGGAAGTTGTGGCGGGAAAGGGGAGAGCGAGGGCGGGAGGGAGAGGAGAAGGTTCTGTGGGGCAAGCCTGGGGGAAAGGTAGAGGCAGGAATGAGTGGAGGAAGTGGAGAGAAAGAGATTGAGTGAGAGGGAGGCAAGCAGAGGAATCAATCAAGGAGCACAAATCCCCTTCGTGGCCCTCCTTTCCCCAAAACTCATTTGTGATCCTGTTTTTTTTGGTAGCTTAATTTGGAGTAATGTTTCCAATGCTTGGCCATTTCATTAATAGTCCAGAAATAGGGAGTGTCAATCTCAGACTTCCACAGCCCAGTGTAGCCATTGATGCAAATTCTGGGAATTGAAGTTCATACCCCTTGGAAGATGGCAAGATGGGAAACATTGATTTATTTATTATTTATTTATTTATTTATTTATTTATTTATTTATTATTTTTATTATTTAATAAATAAATAAATAAAAGCCTTTTAGCCCAATGGACAGTGAGGCAAGATCTAAACCAATAGTTAATCAATTCATTAATTAATATAATAAAATACTGAAGCAAATCAACAAAAAATATAGATAAAATATAACTGAGCTGAGCTGAGAGAGCTTCCTCTTCACTTCCACAGAAACACAGAACAATCAATTAAAACTATGATTTGAAAAATATAACAAAAGCATAGAAGTCTTTCCTTAATTCGTAGCATATGGCCAACTGCCCTGAGCCATTACTGTATTTTGTGTTTGGGGCCATCTGGTGGACAAATGCAGAAATCAGTAGACTCACAAGAGATAATTTACTACAATAAACTAAGTGATTTGAGTCCTTTATGACTGACCCTGTGTTTACACATTTCTACATAACCTGTGTGTTATCTGAGTTCCCCTACTTCCTTATCATCTGTTTGATTAGTGCACTAGGTATGGCACTCGCTATTAAAAGCTTGATTTTGCTTGACAGCAAGGTTGATATTCTTACCTGCACAAACATCTATGTTATATGCACTGATAACCCTATTAGTTTTAGATTCCTGGGGAAACAGGAAAGGCAGAGGGACTACAGAGAGTCCTCGACTGACGACCGCAATTGAGCCCAACTTTGCTGTTGCTGAGTGAGACAGTTGTTAAGTAAATTTTGTTCCATTTTACAACCTTTCTTACCACTGTTGTTAAGTGAATCATTGCAGTTCTAAGTTAGTAACATGGTTGTTAAATGAATCTGGCTTCCCCCATTGACTTTGCTTGTCAGAAGGTCACAAAACGTGATCACATGACGCTGGCATAAATACATGCCAGTTGCCAAGCATCCAAAATTTGATCATGTGACCTCAGGGATGCTGCAGTGGTTGTAAGTGTGAGAAAGTCATGTCACTTTTTTGTGGTACCGTTGTCATTTTGAACAGTCATTAAATGAAAGGTTGTAAATTGAGGACTACCTGTACTAATGAGAAAAGATCCATCCACACAGAGGCAAGCTAGCAATCCTTGCCTTCCTTGCATTGATAGGAAGGCCAACTGGGGAACATAGAACATACATGACTTAGCAGGTCCAGATTGAGCTCCCAACTTGGTCTCTGTCAAGCCATTTCCATAGAGAGTGGAATGTTGAAATTCAGCTCCATGAGCAGCTGTGAGCAGCCAGAACAGGAAACAAAACCTGCAGAAAAAATGGATTTTATAAGAAGTGTGGAGGTGAAAAAGACTCCCAGAGAACAGGAATATCATAAAAGAAGCTTGTTCGTATTTCAAGTGCCACAGTGGTGCTTTCTCTATGTGTGTTTCTTTATATATCTTTCCTTCCATTTGCTCATCAGCTAATTAGAAATCTTTTTTTAAAGCCTTGCAGCTCCAGAGAACTCCAGATGTTCAGGATAAAATCCCTGCAACTGAGTCAGCAACGAATCAGCAGGAGAAAAGTGTAAGCCCCATTGTGACAATTCCACAGGTATGGTCCCAGATTTCAAGGCTTGTGCATAGCAACAGTAGCACCAACCAGCTGAAATTGCTTGAAAATGTCATTAGTTTCCAGGAGAAAGACTCAACTCAGGAAGGCCTGCTGATCCGAGAAGTCCAGATGGTGGCTGCAACCACATGACTAACTTCGTGTTGTGCAGCAATTGGGGCCTTTCCTGGACCAGGATTCCCTGCGCTCAGTCCCTAGTCATCTCACGACCGGACTATTGTAATCAGTGGTGGGATTCAGCCGGTTTGCCCCACTTTGGCAGAACCGGTAGCTAATTTTTTATTGCCCAGGCCCAGAATGGACTTCCGGAAGCAGCATCCACACAGAGAACCGGTTTGATAGATTGCTAGTCAATAGCACCCAAACGAAATACATTAGAAATTAGAATTAGTCCAAACCCTGAAACAGGAGGGTATTTTTCTTTAGAAAAAGTCACACAATTAATTAAAAAAGAAAAGGAAATAATTACAAAAGAAGCCCAGACTCGTAAACTAGCCAGGAAGGGTGGGAAACGCCTAGAGGAAACAACCATTATTCTTTCTTTAAGGCAGTGTTTCTCAACCTTGACAATTTTAAGGCATGTGGACTTCAACTCCCAGAATTCCACAGCCAGCAATGCTGGCTGTGGAATTCTGGGAGTTGAAGTCCACATGCCTTAAAATTGTCAAGGTTGAGAAACACTGCTTTAAGGGATAAGCCAAACCAAATGTCAAAAGACCAAAGAAGAGGGTTTTTTTTTTCTTCTCTCACTCTCCTTCCCACGCCCTGAGCAATTCTGGGCAGAGAGCCAAGAAGCACCCTGAGGTCAGGAAACCGCAGACACGGGCCTTGTATGAGCAATCAAAACCATGGATCCCATCAGATAGAAACAATGTAATGCTAACAAAACACACAAAACACATCTAGAAACCCATTTCATGAATAAAAAAACATCTCCTAAGGACAAGATTGATCATTCCCGGTCCAAACAAACACAGACTAAGGGAAATTAAGGGAAGAAACACCTTTACAAAATCTAAATCATAATTTCAATAACTCCAGGGGTATAAGAGCAGGACCCCTCGCCTTGGAAAATCAATAGCTAGTCCAGAAACCACCGCCGTGTCACTACTCCATCTGGTTTCTGCAATAAACTCTACTTTCTGGCAACTTGCTTCGTTTAGTGTCAATTCTTCCATCTGAGCTGAAGGTCTGCTTCCCAGCTGGAAACCCGAACCAGAGAAAATTCTTCTCACATTACAATCAGTGGTGAATCCCACCACTGATTGTAATGCGTTGTTGGGAGGAATTCCCCCGTTCAGGCTCTTCCAGCTGGGATTCTCCCAAGCGGCACAGAGGAGAATAAATAGAAAGTGAAGCCAGCTTCTGGAAAGAGAGGTTTCATCACGGAGATTAAAGTTGAGTGACAATTCAGCATGAATCCCCGGCTAGCTAGACAGAATGGTCCTCAAACGTGAGTTCTTATACCCTTTCATGGTTTCCAAAATTGTCATTTCTGATTCGTGAATTTAAAATTTGTCTTTTCTGATTTGTTGGTCAGTGTCTATTATTGGGTTAATTTCTTTATCAGTTCTGTCTTTAAAAAGTGTTAATTTTTGCTCCAGGAGGGACCCGATATGATTATTTTATTGTTGTGTACCTTTTAATGTTTCTATTCTAATCCTGTCAATCCTAATTGCTGTTAGCTGGTTCTGAGTTCCTGTGGTTTAGACGTGATACTTTGTAGCCAGGGTGTGTTAAGTGTTCGTTTATTTAGCCTCAGGCTGCCCCTGAGTCAGACTACTTTGTATTGGGTTACTTCCTATATTTTGCCGGCAGAGGAGGCATGCTCTGGGTTACATCAGCCTGACTATTCTTGTCAGCACTTTGCTTTTCCCCACGACACACACACACCCATACACTGCCCCCACAGTGAATCAGCACAACACAACAGTGATGTTTTAAGATTTATAACAGTCTATTAATAAATGGACGGTGGGACGAGGTTCAGAAGCGTTCATTGGGCAATTTTGATCACTGACTTTTTTAATCCAGTAAAAATGCCTTGACGCAAATTCCTTTCTAAAACCAGTTAGTTTTCAAATACATTTGTTTACTTTTACGTTTCTAAACTGAGCTACGAGGACTTTGCCCAGCTACAATTCTTGCATACCGATGAACCGTGACTGTAAACTGAGTGCTGTTATGGAATTTTTGGAATTGTACTGTTATGGAATTGCACTGTTAGAAGAGAAAGGCCTCCTCCATGACATCTTGCAGCCAGACCACATGCTAACCTTGGCTGTGCCTTACCGCAGGAAACCCCCGGCCGCAAAACAAAGAACCACATGAGCCTTTCATCCAAGTCTTTGGATGAAACTGATAAAAAGCCAGCAAACATCAGTAACTCAGCATTCCCCTCGGATATGGAAATCTTTTACACACACACACACA